TGTGTAGATGTGAGTACGTTCCTGTGTGTGAGTACATGTTCTTATGTGTGTACATGTTCCTGTGTGTGAATGTACATGCATGTTCCTGTGTGAATGTACATGCATGTTCCTGTGTGGATGTGCATGCATGTTTCTGTGTGTGCACGCATGTTCCTGTGTGTGTGGATGTGTGTACATGTTCTGATGCATGTAGATGTTACTATTCCTGTTTGGATGTGCATGCATGTTTCTGTGTGTGCACGCATGTTCCTGTGTGTGTGGATGTGTGTACATGTTCTGATGCATGTAGATGTTACTATTCCTGTTTGGATGTGCATGCATGTTTCTGTGTGTGCACGCATGTTCCTGTGTGTGTGGATGTGTGTACATGTTCTGATGCATGTAGATGTTACTATTCCTGTTTGGATGTGCATGCATGTTTCTGTGTGTGTGTGTGTGTGTGTGTGTGTGCATGTTCCTGTGTGTGTAGATGTGTGTACGTGTTCCCATGCATGTAGATATGTTACTATTCCTGTTTGGATGTGCATGCATGTTCCTGTGTGTGCAGATGTGCATATATGCACCTGTGTGTGTAGATGTGTGTACATGTTCCTGTGTGGATGTGCATGCATGTTCCTAGATGTAGATGTGTGTAAATGTGAGTACGTGTTCAATGTATATAAATGTGTATATGCTCCTGTGTCAGTGTGCATGCATGTCAATGTGTGATGTGTATACATGTTCCTGTGTGTAGGAGCACGTGTTCCTGTGTGTGCCTGTGTGTGGAGGACAGAGGGTGACACCAGGTGTCTTCCTTGATCACTGTTCACCTCTTTGAGACAAGGTCTCTCAACTGAACCTGGAATTCTGCAGTCTGGCTAGACGAGCCAGCTGGCTGGCAGACCCTAGAGAGGCTATCCCTGAGCGTACAGGCCTGTGCCGCCATGCCCAGTTTTTACGTGGGTGCTAGGGATTCAGAATCAGGTCCTCATACTTGTACAGCAAAGATTTTACCAACTCAGCCATCCCCCATCTTACTTTAAAATCTAAGAAAACTAGTTTGTTTCCTTTCACCTCCACATCATCTGAGTGCAAAGGCCAGAACTAGACACTTGTGACACTGTGTGAAAATGTCAAACCCTAATGCCCTAGTGGAACTGGTACAAAAGTACATGTGGACTCCAATTCCCTGTAGACATTAGTGCTGGGTATGTGTTTCAGAGAATTAACCCAGTGAGCAATCAGAGCTTAGGTAAGGATCTGGGAGCCTTTTACATGGACAACAGCAGCACTGGAGGTCAACAGGGACCAAGGGCAATCCGAATCCTGCTCTCCCTGCACAGAATGAAGACAAAAAAGCCACTTCCATAAAATAGTACTGTAGTCCAGGACACCCTAGGTTCTAAGAGCTATGCAGGAGACGCACAGCCAGCCCTGATTAACAACAGGGGGTCACAAAACAGAACAGAAAGGCGTCAATGAGGGAAAGAGGTAAACCAGAGCTACACAGCAGGACACTGTCTCTAAATAAATAGAAAAATAGATCAAATGTAGAAGCATATATGAAAACGCAGCTGTATTCTATAATTTTTCATGAAGGAAAATTATAAAATGGCCCCCCCGGTGTCCCCTCCAAAAGGTGGAAAACAAATAGCCTGACGTGGTGGTATACACCTTTAACCACAGCACTTGGGAGGCAGAGGCAAGAGGATCTCTGTGAGATTGAATCCAGACTGATCTACACAAGCAAGTTCCAGGCCAACTGGGGCTACAAGGAGACTCTGTCTCAAAAAGACCAAAAAAGAAAAAAAAAAGTCATCTCTCACCTTCTTTCCAATTTTTTATGAAAAACATTTAGAGTAACAGCTTTAAGATTAAACTTTCACATTTTCAACTTTCATTTACAATCCTGTGACTACAGCGTACTACTCACATGAACAGGACCTCTCAGGGGTCAATGTACAAGAACAGGAGTGTCCTGAGAAGACCAGGAGAGCCAGTGGGATGGAGAGAGTGTTGCACGTGGACGATGTACACGGCGACTGTGCTGAGGTACCTAGCCTAGGAACGAGGCTAGAAAGGTTGTGGAAGGCCAATCAAATTGAAGACCTAAACCTGGACTCAACATGGTAAGCGGACGGTGAAGAACACTAATGTGAAATGGGCCCTGCAGGCTCATGTATCTGAACACTTGGTCCTCAGCTGGTAAAAGTCTGAGGAGGTTATGGAACCTTTGGGGCAGAGGGCACGGCCAGCAGAGGTGGGTCACTGAGGAGAGGTCTTTGAGGGACATAGCCTAGCCACGCTCTCCTCCCTGACCTGTGGCAATATGAACAAGCCATGCTGCACGCTCCCAACGGCCTGCCCAGCACAGCAGACTGCCACCAGAAAGTCCTCCCTTCCACTGTTTCTGTCAGGTACCTTGTCACAGACATGAGAAAGGAAAAAGCAAGAACAAAAGGGCTTAGAAGAAATAACACTCAAAAAGAGCAGCAGCAGTGAGGGGCTGTGCGACACATGGGGGACAGGAGCTACCTAGAGACCGATTTCAACAGCAAGATATTCGGCTTTTACTCTG